CATTTTGCTTTTAGTGGGAAATATCGAGAATGAAATGTAATACAAGAATTCTTATAGTTTCAATAATATCTGTTCAAAAATATAAAAGATACATAGTAACTATTTTTCATAAGCACTTAAAGCTCACATTTTTTCAAAATTCATCAACAATCTGAAAATTATTTTGTAATTAAAAATGTATAAAAGTTCAATAGTCAAGGGTTAACAATTTTCTAGACTTTTCATAAGTATTTCAAACTGTACCTTCTTGAGCTTTTAAAGTATATCAAATGAAATGTTTTTGGTAAAAATTAATTCAATCTACTGTTTTAGTAAAAGTAGAATGAATTGCTTAAACAGGAAGACCATAAAATATAGGTACTTATATTGAAATATAGGCTGACCATCTTTGGCTCTTTACTCAGAATCGTTTTTCGTATAAAATAATTTTATATCATTAAATTTCATTTAACACATTCATAATACTAATGTATAATACTACGTAATGTATAGCAAAGCGTTAGCCACTTGCCCGCCTTTTTATCATTATTTTAATTTATTTAATATAAGAACCTGGTGGAATTACATTGAAATTATTATTAGTTTTCTTTATTTACTGTCATTTTAACAAAACCCATACCTAATTGATAAACATGATGAAAATACAGTTATCAACTAATGATATTTTTTATTTTTATATGATTTTAAATTATTGTTAAGCTTAATACATAAACGAACACCGACATTAAAAACCATTTTTCCACCAAATTCTTAATTGGTTACTGGGATATTCAGATTTACAGTTTGTTTCATGCGTGTTTGATAGCTATGTGAGAAAGGTAATATTCTTTTAGATTCATGTTAAAAATATAATTAAGAATATTCCATATATACAAGCCATTTAGGTTTCTTACATTAAATGTCCTGTAAAAGTCATCTACATGAAAATCATACGGTTTTAATAGTATAAATCTCAACAGTGAGTTTAATGTAAGAACAAGATGATTTAAAGCAAACTTAGGTGCGTTTAGCCAAAGAACTATATCATAGTAAGTAACGGATTGTATACCAGTGCTAAATAGACTGTATGCAATGTGTTGGTATTGAGGATATCTTTTGACAATTTGAATTTACAAAACAGCTTTTATGTCATACTAACCGTATGATTTATACGTGCAGTCCACTTCAAGTTTCTATCTAAAATCACCCCAAGGTATTTAATTGAGTCAACATGTTCAAGTTTATCACATTTACAAGAGTCTAATGATATATTTCAATTAGTTTACTGTATAACTAATGGATTGTATATTAAACTTTTGTTTTTATAAATTTCAAAATACAAATAGGTACCTACTTAGATTTTAGATTCTGAGTGGAACGATGAATGTATTGATTTTACAATGATGTGTGTTTTTATATTTTTTTTTTTTTTTTTGTGTCTGTGTACACGATAAGTAGTCGAAATAATGCTTTGATTTTCAACTTCAGTATCTTTTTCGAGTGGAAAGTGAATATCGTTGGTGCATTGAGGTCAAAATTTAAATTTCCCAATAGTTTTCACAAGCACCGGGAAAAACAACATAAAAATTAAGGAAAAACGGGAATTTTTACGGAAAATCTGTTTTCAAGAAATTCGATTTTGGTTTTTCATGCAACTCTTAAAAAAATGACCGTAGATACATGAAATTTTTACTGAATGTTTATATTAGCATTTTCTATACACCATCAAATTTTCAAAATATTTTGACTTATTTTAAGCACTTTACAAACATTTTCATTTTCCATTTTTTTTTAGTATTTTTTTCGAAAAATATCAATAAAATTTTATTTGTTGGTTTAAAAAGCTTGAAAATTTAATAGGAGGCTCCTAGTATATTGTTTCAAAGGCAGATGAAAAACATTAAAAATCCTTAGTCACAGTTTTTTTTTATAAGCATTTAAAGTTCAAAATTTGACCAAATATGGAAAAATCACGAAAATTAGCAAATTAAAATTTAAAACAAGATTCCACGTAAGTAGTTTATTATGTTACCAAAAAATCTAAAAAATACACAAGCTCAGTTTATTTTTATGGTCATTTTAAGTTCAAATTTGGGACGAAATTACATGCCCACTTGTAACCTACTGTACAGCAGAGCGACATCCACTTACCCACCTTTTTTTAATATTAAGTTCAATTAAATTATTTTCAAACCAGAAATTAACTTAAACTTCTGGTACCATCAGCAATTCTAATTATTTTAGAGTTTAAATTTAAACCAAATAAACCATTTTTTATAAATTATAGAAAATAGATGTCCTAACACTGTAAATTATAAGCTTCCATAGTTAATTGATAAAAAGTTAATTAAATCGTTATCCACTCTAACAGCTTGATTTCTTCCAACCAAAAAAGATGAGAATAGATTAAGTGCATTACCGCGAACACAAGCATATTCAATCTTACTGATAAAGGTGTTAAACAAAGTGTAATTCGTTCAAACAGTTATTTTTCGAGTAACTAATGATTAGTTATATTTTTGTTTTCAGGTTCATATGTTGTAATTCACCAATTAACATTCATAATCGAGCGAGAAATTAAAAGATTTTAATCTTTATAAGATCTTATAAGATTTAATAAAGAATTTATTCAGGATGAACAAATTTATGATTATAATTGTGAATATCTTATTCACAGCTTAATTTTATAATATATAACTTACTTATATTACTTTATAGAGAAAAAAACACTTCATAACAGAATATAATTTAATTAGTGGATTAAAGGAGTTTAGTTGGAAAAAAGAAAATATTGCTTTATACCAAAATATATAAAATAAAAATGCTATTATTTTTTTTAAACATTCAATTACAATATTCATTACAAAAATACAAAATATATAAACAATTTGCAAATTGTTTTGTAGTTAAAAATATATAAAATAAAATGCAATTATTTTTTTTTGAAAGTCAAAAAATATTACCTATAAAAATATAATCGTCTTAAAATAAATAAAAACATAGATACATCATAATCACTTCTTAACAAAAATATGAAAAATTATCCTAAGTAATATAAAATCGTAGACAAATATCATAATTTAAATAAAATGCTGTACAATTATCATGGTGAACCCTGTTAAGAACATAATAATGTAAAACATTAAAAATGTTAGTAAAATTATTAAATAGTTTTGATAAATTCATATAATAATATCTTAAATTAGTTGAAATTATCTCCTTACAGTATTCATAACATTATTAATTTATTATATGAAATATTTATAAGCAGGTAAAATATAATATAGAGTGTAATAAAAAGAATTGACAAAAAAAAAAAAAAAAAAAAATTATGAAATTTAAACAAATGACAAAAAATGATAAAATGATATGATTAATAAATAGTTAAAGAAATAGAAACATGTAAGCAAATTTCCAAAAATAATATTTTTAAAAAAGTTATTGCATTACAAATTAATTTAATCAAAAAAATATTGATAATTAAAATCATTCTAAAAAATAAAATGCTTGAATTAGATAAATGTTTTTACCATAAAAATAATTCTTATAATGGAATTTAAAAATTGGCTATTTTGAATTTATTCAAAAAAAATTAAATCAAATTTGAAAATTTTCATTGTTGGTACCTATTAAAAATAAAAAATATTTTTTTATTACACGGGAATCGCAAATTATATAAATAAAAAAAAAATTTAAATATTGATTAGGACAAAAATTATTCCAAGAGTCAATTCTATCTGTTACCCCTCTATATTTTGCCAAATATATTTTTCCGAATAGTAAAATAAAAATAATATAATAGTACAATATGAATATCTGTATATCTACAGTACAATTATTTAAAAATTACATAATTCAGACAAGAACAAAAAGAATATAAATATTAAATATTTCAGTAAAACATTAATAATAAATAATTAATGAAAAAATCTTCTCATATCAGTCGTGTAAACAATTCTTTCATTATTATTATGCTATACACATTTTTGATAAACAATAAAATAGTAAAATATTTAATTAATTTCCATTCCCGCTGCTTCAAATCACAATGGTTTTAAGAGTGCACATCATGTAGAAAAATCCAAAGGAAACAGTAAATGTAAAAAAAAAACATGCATGAACATTGTCAATACCCGTAAGGGAGGGACGCCAGTATGTCACAATAGCTCATGTGTCTCATCTCAAAGTATATCGAATAGGAACCGACAGTGATAATGTACCAAATCATATCACTGATGAACATGAAGAAGCAACTGATACTGATGAGGTACAGTCAGAAGGAAAAGAAAGCACTAAAGAAAAGATAAAGATTGAAACAGTTCCAGACCAACCAGCACCAAGGGTGAAAAGGAAGCCATCATGGTTACGGGACTATAAATTATAAGACTTGTTATGAACCCCTGAATCGTATTATAATATAATACGATTTCTACATGATATTTTTTAAGACCATCAGGAATAGTGTGTTATACGACGGCGAGACCGTGGGATCCGCTGACACAGGATTTTGATTGTGACACGGAGCGTCGTCGTCCAACACACTATACGGGAGGCCAGGCAGTCGTTAAGTTAGTCTTTATGTTACGTCTGAACCGATACATTGTCATTAGCCGTAGTAAATAATAAAATATAATTTTTATTTAATTATTTTGCATACGTTATTTTATTTGTTGTGTAAAATCATAACAGACTTCAATACCACCAGTATTTATGTTAAGAATTAATATTATATTTGGTTTGAATTTTGAAGTAATTGAATTTATTTTGTTAAATCCAGTAGGATAATTATTCCTATTTTTATTATTATTATTATTTGTTGTTAATCTGTTACATACAGTTTATATTTTAATTTTCTTATTTTTAGTATTATATTCAAATGAATACATTTAGTAAGGAAGAGACAGAGTAATCCCCTTTTAAATTGTATTTAAAAATTCATATTTATAATAATACAGCGAGGACGCTGTAAAACCCAGGGACAACCATCATACACGAGTTTCAAAAAGGGGCAAAATACGAGTATGAGTACGGCTACGGGACCTAAGTGCTACAATTGTCAATTGATAAGACATATAGTACGCGATTGTACTCGTCCTAAGGGACCGCTACAATGTTCGAAGTGTGGAACAGAGGGACATACTGCCAAATATTGTCAAGCAGCCAAGACGGACGTCGCTTTGATCGATACTAACACAGTAAATAGAACGCTATATGTAAAACGTGTACAAATCAATGAGGATTCTGAAGGAGTTCAAGGCTTAGTAGACACCGGAAGTGCACTTTGCATTATCAAGCGAAGTATAGCTCAAAAATACGGACTGACAATAAAACCACGAACAGTCAATCTTAATATGTATGGTAACACCTCGTGTGTAATTGGTGGCGGCGATACAAGGGCGTGGTTGAAGATAGACTCTGTAAAAGAACCTGTAGATTTATTAGTTGTTGACGATCACATCCAAAATTATGATATACTCATAGGACGCACATTCATCAACAAAGAAAATGTATCTTTTATTAAGACATCTAATCAGTTGATTTTTGATTATAATATGCCACTGCCATTTATTGAAGAACCGAATGAGACAATAACTGGACAACCTGCAAATGTAGAAGTGACGTTGATTGAACGTGAGAAGGAACCGATTACAGCGAGTATGGTTAAACACAATCAATCATTCACTAAGGATGAAGTAACCAAACTAATAGACCTGATGAATGAGTATCGTATATGTTTTGTGTTTAATATATTCGAACTAGGATGTACCAACGCACCAACTATGAACATTGTGGACAACAACGTACCAGTGGTAAGCAGACTTACAGAACAAGTGCGACGGAGCGAGACATCATCGACAAAATTGTCAGTGAATGGAAGGCGGCAGGTCTAGTTACGGAAACGAAATCAGCATACGCATCTCCTGAGTTATTGGTGAGGAAGAAAAATGGTGATCCAAGATTAGTTGTTGACTATAGCAAGTTAAACTCGCAAACTATACGTTAGGTAATCCCGACACCGAACATGGATGATCATTTAGAAGCATTGAGTGACGCAAACCTATTTTGTACGTTGGATCTTAAATGTGAAAGTTAAATGTGAACCACAATAACCTATTTACCCCAGTTCAGAGTCATACATAACACATTAAGTTAAAATGCATTCCTCGATGCTTGAGTCTATACATACATATGTGGATAATGTTTCTAACTCAGGATATACGGCTTGTACTCAAAAGTTATCCCTTTTTAATTATTTAAAACTTGGTTAATTTTTTTTTTCGAGTGGTATTCAATTCTAAGTATTTTTTTTTAAATGCGATTTACGAAAAAAATTTAGTTTTTGAAGTTTTTCATCAATAACTTCAAAACAAAGTTTGTCCAGTCTTTTTTTTTACATTCTTAAAAAGCACCCTTAACCCCTTGCTGCATGATTAATTATCTGTTAGTGGGATAAAAATCTTTCTATAGCAAATTTATCGCTGATTACGGGAAAAATAGTAAAAAAAATACAAAGTTAAAAGTTAAGAAGTTATAAGTTAAAGTTTAAGACGTGCCATATTTGGCACAACATGCAATATAGTCAATTACAAAAATTTTCTTTGTGCCATATTTGGCACACCATGCATTAATGACAATTACCAATATTTTTGTGTGTGACATATTTGCTGATGATATAAAATATATACATCAATAACCTATTATTTTAGCAATGATTTTGAGTCATCAAAACACAACTTAATACGAATACTCAAATCACAATCGGCTTAACATTTCAATCAAAAATTTAAAACTGGAATTTATATTTAAAACCGGTTGAGTTTATAGTCTAAAGGCATAATATTTTTATTCGTATATAAAATATATACACCTATGGGTAGTTCATCATATATTCCGCTACAAAAGGACATCGAAAATAACAAAGTCTTATTTAAAACCACAGACCGACAGTGTTTCAAGTGGGCAATTCTAGCAAAATATGTTTCGGGATATACCAAAAATACAATAATATAATACGCCATTCAATAGTCATTTATGGAGACTTTGAGGCACTTCTTGTTCAATGTAAAACACAAAATACTATTATTTTCCTAACGATTTTGAATCCTCAAAACACAACTTAATACAATTACTTAAATGAATATCGGCAAAATATTCCAATCAAATAAAACTTAAAACTGGATTAAAAATTTAAACCTCGTGTAGTGTAGAGTCTATAGACGTATTATATTCAAGCGTACATAAAATATATACACCTATGGGCAGTTAATCATTTATCCCGCTACCAAAGGAAATCGAAAATAACAAAGTTATAATCAAAAACACAGACCGACAATGTTTCAAGTGGCAATTCTAGCAAAATATGTTTCGGGATATAACAAAAATGCAAAAATACTAAACGCCATCCGATAGTTATTTATGCAGACTTTGTAGCACTTCTAGTTATATGTGAACCACAAAAATTTAAAACTGGAATTAATATTTAATAAAGGTTGAGTTTAGAGTCTAAAGGCATAATATTTTTAGGCATATATAAAATATATACATTTATGAGCAGTTAATCATATATTCCGCTACCAAAGGACATCGAAAATAACAAGTTATAATCAAAAACACAGACCAACGGTGTTTCAAGTGGGCAATTCTAGCAAAATATGTTTCGGGATACAACAAAAATGCAATAATACTAAACGCCATCCGATAGTCATTTATGCAGACTTTGTAGCACTTCTTGTTAAATGTGAACCACAAAAATTTAAAACTGGAATTTATATTAAATAAAGGTTGAGTTTAGAGTCTATAGAGGTAATGACAGTATGCGTATATAAAATATATACACCTTTGGGTAGTTCATCATATATTCCGCTACCAAAGGACATCGAAAATAACAAAGTCTTATTTAAAACCACAGACCGACAGTGTTTCAAGTGGGCAATTCTAGCAAAATATGTTTCGGGATATAACAAAAATGCAAAAATACTAAACGCCATCCGATAGTTATTTATGCAGACTTTGTAAAACTTCTAGTTAAATGTGAACGACAAAAACCTATTATTTTAACAATGATTTTGAATCCTCAAAACACAACCTAATACGATTACTCAAATGAATATCGGCTAAATATTCCAATCAAATATAATTTAAAACTGGATTAAATATTTAAACCTCATTTAGTGTAGAGTCTATAGACGTATTATATTTAGGCATACATAAAATATATACACCTATGGGCAGTTAATCATTTATCCCGCTACCAAAGGACATCGAAAATAACAAGGTATAATCAAAAACACAGACCGACGGTGTTTCAAGTAGGCAATTCTAGCAAAATATGTTTCGGGATACAACAAAAATGCAATAATACTAAACGCCATCCGATAGTCATTCATGCAGACTTTGTAGCACTTCTTGTTAAATGTGAACCACAAAAATTTAAAACTGGAATTTATATTTAAAAAAGGCTGAGTTTAGAGTATATAGGCATAATATTTTTAGGCGTATATAAAATATATACACCTATGAGCAATTAATCATATATTCCGCTACCAAAGGATATCGAAAATAACAATTTATAATCAAAAACACAGACCGGCAGTTTTTCAAGTGGGCAATTCTAGCAAAATAGACTCCAGACCAAAACTTCAAAATCCTCAACAGATAATCATCAACTGCGATATCAACCTAGCCTGATCTGTACTTTTCATAACATCTATCAACATAGCATACCAGTCAACAGATTCAACGGCTCCTCTCTATGTTGAGAATGACCCTCACGCATGGAAAAGATCTGCTCTCATGACCGCCACTGCTTTGGTCCGGAATGATGCTCCGACTATAGACATCATGTCTTCCGGATCAGCCCCTGCTTGCTGGAGTGACACAATATTTATCAAAGACTTCTTATCAAAAGTCAAAAAAAGGAAAACTCCGGTCCTAGATGAAGTGGTTCCTCATGCGAAATACTTCTTAAATGTCTATTACACAGGGACAGCAAATGAGGATCACCTAGTTACATCTATGCTTTGTCTCTGGTCATACATGAAGGTCAATCAAAGGCCCCTAATACCTGATGTGATAAAGGGCACAGACAAATGGCCAACTGCTCCACAATCAATCAAGGTCACCCAGGTACCCAACAAGCGGCATTCAACGGTCAAATCAACAGGTCATGGGGCAAGACCTAAAGAGAAAACATTTGAAGGAGCCTCTGCAATTACTATGAGTGAGGACAAAGTTAAGAAATTCTATGGAGATGTATACGACGGGTTGGATAATGAAAACCTAAAGGACATTATGCTTAATTACTGGGGTTCTTGGCCGGAACTATCTGTAGGTTGGTGGTCAAGGAGGCAGAATCTGTAGAGCATCACATTGTAGTGTTATCAAAAGACCGATTCAACTCTGTGTTCTCTTTCAAACATAATTTCAGGCATTTTGCTCCCCCTAATACTGGAGTGTACGACATATGGGAAAATGCTTACAAGAAATTTTCTCCTCATTCAAATCTCTTATTAGCAACTTAAGGACTAGGGGCTTTGAACTGGGCTTAAAAGGCCGCGGAAACAACAGGGGTGTCTTTGTGCGTTTTTCTCTCCAGGGTGGCATCTGACATCTACGAACAGACATGTCAAAACATATATGCATTCATGGTCTCTCAAAACTACAGTAAGGATGTCACTTTCTTATATAGTAAACTGTTTGTAGAGCGTTCACCTCTCTTTCCACTAAGACAAGCCCTGAATTTACCATGATATGTGCATCAATTGCCCTCAGAGCCAACACAGACCATCCTATATGGGGAATATATCAATTTAGTTCATATGAGATTTTCAAGGAAGATGCAGTGTTATATTCAGTTCCATTCGATAAGCCGACGTAATCGGTCGTGTGTGTTTAGTGTTATATTTCATTAGACTTAATAATGGCAGTGTGTCCGAAATGTAAGGTTGTGGTTTCTCGGAATGAGTCCAGTACTCAATGTTCGACTTGTAAAAACGTACTTCATATTAAATGCGCAAACATGAATTCAGATAGCATTGATTACATGAAATCTAATAACATTGCCTTTGACTGCGAGGACTGTACCAAAAAACTGAAACAAAAAAGAGATGACGGCACTCCAGTCAAACCGATTTCACAAACCCAAGGTATACACACTAATAAAATAACAATTGACTCTGATATTAATATAATCGTCAGCAAACTAGACCAAAGAACATCGAAAATAACAATGTTATAATCAAAAACACCGACCGACAGTGTTTCAAGTGGGCAATTCTAGCAAAATATGTTTCGGGATATACCAAAAATACAATAATACAATACGCCATTCGATAGTCATTTATGCAGACTTTGAGGCACTTCTTGTTCAATGTGAAACACAAAAACCTATTATTTTCCTAAAGAATTTGAATCCTCAAAATAGAACCTAATACGATTACTCAAATGAATATCGGCTAAATATTCCAATCAAATATAATTTAAAACTGGATTAAATATTTAAACCTCATTTAGTGTAGAGTCTATAGACGTATTATATTTAGGCGTACATAAAATATATACAATTATGGACAGTTAATCATTTATCCCGCTACCAAAGGACATCGAAAATAACATAGTTAGAATCAAAAACACAGACCAACAGTGTTTCAAGTGGGCAATTCTAGCAAAATATGTTTCGGGATATAACAAAAATGCAATAATACTAAACGCCATCCGATAATTATTTATGCAGACTTTGTATCACTTCTAGTTAAATGTGAACCACTATTATATAAGAATCATTTTAAAGATTATTGTAAATGGTTACCAGCTAAAGTAGTTAAACAGTTAACCAACTATTTATTTGTAATTGACTTAAATAATAATACTAGAAAAGTAGAAAGTTATATCAAAGTGGATTATGATAGTTAAGCCGTGGCAAAGAGTGCATGATGATTTCTTTCATTTGGAAGGCAATACGTTTTTGGTTGTGATTGATGCATATAGCAAATTTATAGGAGTGAAACTGTTAAAAAAAAAAAAATTGTGAATCGTTAATCAGGGTGTTGCAGGAAGTGTTTGCATTTTTTGGGTTACCTGAAGAGATAGTATCAGACAATGGTCCTCCTTTTGGTTCATGGTTATTTAACACATATGGAAATCAAAGTAATATTAAAATAACAAAAACACCTCCATTTCATAGTCAGTTCAACAGCTTGGCTGAGAGAGCGGTTCAAACTGTTAAAAAGTATTTTAAAAAGTATATCTTAGATAGAGAATAAAGTAAGTTGACTGTTAAGGAAAAAGTAGTAAGGTTCATTAAAGTATATAATACTACGCCTTCAACAGTTACAGCACAGCCTTCGGCTGATTGTATGTTTTCTTATAAGTTAAGGTCTATTATGTCATTAATAAATCCAAAAAGTAAAGTTACAGTAAATGAAAAAAAGAAATTTAGTTTTAATCTTAAAAATAATAAGTATTATGAGGATGAGAACTGTGAAATTTATTTTTTTAAAAACGAGGAAGTATTATATAGGAATCATTTTAAAGATTATTGTAAATGGTTACCAGCTAAAGTAGTTAAACAGTATACCAAATATTTATTTGTAATCGACTTAAATAATAATACTAGAATAGTTAATAAGAATCAGTTAAGGTATCCTAGAAATATTGATAAAGATCATGGTTATTATACATTACCTAAAAGAGATGAGTTACATAGTGCAACAAAAAGTAAAGAGTGTGTAGTAGTATGTCGTTCGGAGTGAGACGGGAAGGTTACAAAAAGATACGGTTATGATAATTAACTATTGTTATGTTTTTTATAATTATTTTGTTATATTACTTAATTTTGTTAATATTAAGTTGTAATAATGTGCTATTTACTATTATTTTTTATTGTTTAATTTAAAAAAAAATAATATATTTGTATTTAAAAAGAGGATGATGTTATGATTATCATAGTTAATGATAATATTTTAACCTCAAATGTTATATGTAATATTGATATTGTTTTAATAAAAGCCAGTCCTCATTCTGAAACGCCAGCGTACACATATTATTCTTCTTTACATTGTATTAAGTAATACATAACAACCACAAAAACCTATTATTTTAACAATGATTTTGAATCATCAAAATCGACTTAATACAAATACTCAAATCACTATAGGCTAAACTTTGCAATCAAAAATTTAAAACTGGAATTAATATATGTGGGATTATATTATTTGTATTCTCTATTATTTGTATTATCTATTATCTATTATCATCAGATTCACTATCATATAAACTATTGTATTGTATTAAGTTGTTACTTCCAGTCAGTGTCGAGGGAACCGTGATTGTGAGTAGGTTAAGACGTTACAGTAATATAGAGTTCTTTAAAACTAAACATTGTTGTGTTTATGTATGTTACAAACTTTCAACCACAACTTGGAGTTAATACAACATTGTATTAACTTCCACATATATAAAAAAGGTTGAGTTTAGAGTTTATAGACACGTATTATTTTTAGGCGTATATAAAATATATACACCTATGGGTAGTTCATCATATTATATTTCGCTACCAAAGGACATCGAAAATAACCAAGTAATAATCAAAAACAGAGACCGACAGTGTTTCAAGTGGGCAATTCTAGCAAAATATGTTTCGGGATATAAGAAAAATAGAATAATACTAAACGCCATCCGATAGTCATTTATGCAGACTTTGAGGCACATCTTGTTAAATGTGAAGAAAGTAAAGATAAGAGTCCATCAGCTACTCAAAAACACTAGCCGATGAACTAAGGGGGTTTATGTAAGTGTTAAAGATAATTTTCCTATAGATTTGTTAGAATATATAATATGCTAACAAAAAAATACATTCGACATTTGCAAAAGATTTCCCATTACTTTTCTAGAATTCATACAAACAAAATAAATTTGAAAATACTATTTAACGATAAATGTCAATAATTACTAACATACCAATAGTGTGTAAATGGTTCTAATACAAATTATTTTAAAATGGATTCTGCAGGTACTTGAAATGCTTTAAGATACATTTGAATTGCTTCATCAATATGATTCCAATATAAATCAAGAGAACTAGACAAAACAAAAAAACATAAAAATTATTACATTATAGATTATAATCAGGAAACAAATTTTAATTTAAATAATTGTTTTTCTGCAATTGTAAGATCTGAAATTGTTTAACATAATATGTGTGCATTTTATTTTATTAAGTTGAAGTTAATTTTATTTTAAATTTGTGTAAATAAAATATAAATAAATGCATATTCTGTTTTAACACGTTAATTGCGTATCATAATTTTGTATACTTGTTGTGACAGTTTTAAAAAAAAAATTCCTAAAAATTGAATAATTATAATATCAGTGTACGGTTTGCATTTGATTATAAAACAATGCTTATAGAAGACGCTGACAGGAAACCAAAAGTTTAATCGTAACGCTAAACAAATTATGATCCATTAAATAACAAGGTACATGACGCCAATTGGCGTCATTCAGCATATGTGAATTATGTAAAATTTTACGCAGCAAACGTGTTAATATAGATTTTCAATTTTTATTTATTATTTTACAATGTACGACATGATACAATAAGGTCTATAATCTATACACATTTTGACATTAAACTACAACGATTCAATATCTTACCTAGGTGTAGGTACTAGGTACAAATTTCAGTAGGTACACAGTATTTACTATATATATGTGTTATATAGTTTTGAGCTCATGGAAAATAAAAGCTATCAAAACAGTTTAACATTAATTACCTTAGTTTTGGATTTTTAATTGATACTATTTGGAAATTAGAAACTTCTTAAATGCCATTAACCAAGTCTAGAAATGACTAATAATGCCATAAGGCAATTTTTACTGTGTCTATAGAGAAATGGTAGTTTTAACTAATTCAAAATATACTGGAATAAAATAAAATTTAGTATAACTTATGCCAATTAAGGCATGCAACTTATTAATTTGTAACTTATGGGTTTGCAGTGTTCACATACTTGCACACGTCAATATAATTTTATTTTGTATCAAGTTACCAGTAATGTTTCAAAATGTTCATCCAATTGTCATAAAACTGAAAGTCCAAACTAATTGTGAGTTTCTTTGCAATTAAAATATGTTGCTCTGTACTATTCAAATAGAATACTTGTTAGATACTATTTCGAAATTTGAAACTTCTAAACTGCCATTAACTGAGTCTATAAATAACTGATACTGCCATAAGGCATTTGGAACATGTCCCTGGAGAATTTGTAGTTTAACTAATTCAAAATTAGAGAAAATAATGGAAAAGAACCCAGGATTTAATGCTTTAATGTCGATAATGGGTAAACTGTTTAACAAAACAC